ACGTAGGATAACATGCATGGGGATGGACACATAGGATAACATGCCGGGGATGGACACGTAGGATAACATGCCGGGGATGGACACATAGGATAACATGCCGGGGATGGACACGTAGGATAACATGCCGGGGGGATGGACACATGGGATAACATGCCGGGGATGGACACGTAGGATAACATGGTGTGTATGGACACATGGGATAACATGCCGGGGATGGACACATAGGGTAACACGCCGGGGATGGACACATAGGATAACATGCCGGGGATGGACACATAGGATAACATGCCGGGAATGGACACACAGGGTAACACGCCGGGGATGGACACATAGGATAACATGCCGGGGATGGACACATAGGATAACATGCCGGGAATGGACACACAGGGTAACATGCTGGGGGGTTTACTGGCTGTAGAAAAAAAAGACGTCAAACCCAAAAACATTCGCTGTAAAAACATCCCGTGTGCAGGAGGACTTAGTCCTCCTGCATACGGGACGTTTTGATAACACTGGTAATGTTAGCTGTGTAAAGTCACATTAAAAACGTTTTTCAACATTTTGCATTAGCGTTTAGCTGCGTTTTTCCACATTTGAGTTTTTTAGCTTTTTTTTTTACCAAGATAAAAAGTTTTTTTTTGGTCAAAAAAAATTACAAAAAACGCCAGTTTGCTAAGGGCTAAGCCCTGGGTCACCCTACCGTGATTTCAGGTGCGATTTGGGAAATTAAATCGTACCTGAAATCAGATTTAATGAATGTGAATGTCAGTGTCTTAACATACGCGATTTGCTGCAGCGCGATTTCAAAAGTAGTTCTTGTGTTACTTTTTCTGCAGTTTGTTGCGCTTTCACATACATAGACTACAATGGAAATCGCACTGCAAAACGCAATGGAAAACGCAAGAAATCGTTGGGAAATCTTCAGAAAACTTCTTCAAGTTGCAAACAAATCTTCACAAAACGTCATTTTAAATCGCATCCAGTGTGAACCAAGCCTTAAGTTTTGACAATAACCAATCACACTGCTGTGATTTCAAAATCTCGTGATTTGTGTGCAAATTCAGTGCGATTTCTGAAGACTTTATTGCTACTTGTGAGGATTTTCAGTGATTTCTTGCAATTTGCATTGCGATTTCCATCATATTCTACCCATATGAAAGAATATATTTGAAATATATTTTAAAAATATTCTTCCCAAATATATTGACATACATTTGAAATGCTACAATTTTGGCCATATTCAATATATTTCAATTTATATATATATATGTTGAAATGCGTTTTTATTACAAAATAGATGAAAAATATTTTTAAAAATACATTTCAAATATACTGTATGTCTTTAAAAATACAAAGCTACATTTTTGGAATGCATTTACAAATATATGTAAAAATATATATTAAAATGACTTTTTTATATGTTAAAAAAAATCTGAAGAACATATTTAAAAAAAAATATTTTTAAAAATATATATTTTTTAAATGCATTCTTTATTTTTAAAAAATGTTTTTCATATATTTTGGAATAAAAACACATTTCAACATACAGTGTATATATATATATATATATTTTATTTATTGAAATATATTTTTTATATATTGAATATGGCCAAAATTGTAGCATGTCAATATATTTGGAAAGAATATTTTTCAAATATATTTCAAATATATTTCAAATACATTTCAAATATATTTTTCTTCCAAGTGGGTATCTATGTGAAATTGCAACAAAACTGCAGATAAAGTAATGCAAGAACTACTTTAGGAATCGAGTTGCAGCAAATTGCACACGTTAAGACTCTGACATTCACATTCATTATATGCGATTTCAGGTGTGATTTTAATTTGCAAATCGCACCAGGGCAGTAATTGAACAAGCTGAAGTTAGAAACTGATTGGTTGCTCTACACACCTGCACCAAATTCTGTGTGCTCCAGTTTTAGCAAGTCTCCCCATTGACTGGGGACTACACTGTACACTGGTACCTGTTTCCCATGTAGACTGGAAGTTCAGGAAAGCAGCACTGTGAAAGCAGCAGTCTGCAGCACTGAAAGTTGTAAACTGCAAGTGATGGGGTAAGAATTTTAACAAACAGATTACTGGAAAATGTTTTCTTCATTGTGCTCAATGTGTGAGGCTCTGTTCACACCAGTGCGTTTTTTAGTGCTTTTTGCTGAAACGCAGTACAGTCCATTTAACATGGTTTCATAGTTACATAGTTAGTCTGGCTGAAAAAAAGACAAAAGTCCATCCAGTTCAACCATTAAAAAAAAAAAAAGTTATACTCAGGGGCGGACTGACCATTTGGAAACTCGGCACTGCCCGAGGGCCCGGGGTCAGTAGGGGGCCCCATGAGATGCCCCTGGTACCTTTTTCATAGGCTTTTTTGAGTTTGGGCAAGGACACAGGGGCCCCATGATCCCCTATTGCCCGGGGGCCCCATGCGTTGTCAGTCCGCCCCTGGTTATACTCCTTTCCTATGTTTCCTATGGAACATTTCCACATTTATGCTTTTTTGAGCTCCTGCATTTTTGGAAAGGGTCAGGGACTTTTTTTAAAAGCAAACAGCAGCATTTTTGCTACAACAGAGTTCAATGAAGAAGCTGCTGAAATGCATGGTAGTGCGTTTTTGCTGCGTTTTGAATTTTTATTCTGCCCAGCAAAAAGAAAATCCACTTTAAAAAAATAAAAAGCTGAACAAACCGAGGTAAAAATGTGGCGAAAATGCAAAACGAACTGCGAAAAACACTACAATGGAGAATCTGCTGAAATGCACGGTAGTGCGTTTTTGCCGCATTTTACATTTCTATTCTGCCCAGCAACAAAACAAAATCCATTTAAACAACAACAAAAAAGAAGGGCTGCAAAAAATCTAAAAACACATCAAAAATGTGTGTAGAAAACGCAAAACGAACTGCGAAAATCGCTGCAAAACGAATAAAAAGCAAACTGCATAGGTGTGAATGGAGCCTAACGGAGCCAGGGGGGTTAATACTACTTTCATGGGAGGATCACCGGGTTACAATAAAGAAAAAAACCATCGGAAGCCCCTGTGCTGGGGTGTCCCTGCAGGAGCACGTATGGGGGAGACAGGACCTGAACAAGGACATTCATGGCCGGATTGGAAAAGACTTTCAAAATGATACTAAACCGAAAACTCCAGCCAAATATAACCCGATAAAAAAAGAACAGCTCATTAAAAAACAGTAACAAAACCAACTATTGCTGCAACATTCACCTTCAATGTTCAGTGCTTTTTCTGCCACTAGATGTCCTCAGTCTAATGGCCAGCAGCATTCCACCCACTTCCCCTGAGCCCAGGTTGCTCCCAGCCTGTGACTGGACAGTGAAAGGAGAAGCAGCACTGTGTTGAGCCAGTATCTGTCATTCTGCTCTCTCCTCCTATCAGCATGTGTCTTTTCAGCACATAAACTAACTCCTTGTGCTGCTTCCTTCTCTCATACTCCAGCCCTGCTGCACAGGGACTGCATGAGGCAACTAATGCGTCGTCCGCCCCATTTAAAGTGGTTGCAAACCCTTACATATACCCAGGGAAGTGACTGGCCCCTCAGGTGATACACAGAGGTGAAACAAGTCCTCTTACATAAGTTGTACCTGTTTGTTTGTAGCATTCTCTTCTCTATATCTGTAGCATTCTCTTCTTTGTATCTGTTAAAAGTCCAGAATTTACACAGCTTGTCTGAACTTTCACAAAACAGGGGGAGGGGAGTTAAGGTTACACTTTGTGCAGTTCAGAAAGCTCTGAAAGCTGATTGGAGGGAAGGGACACCCCCCTTCATACAGCTCATAGGAACAGAGCTGAGGCTGTCAATCGCAGGCTGTGTGCTGGAGCTCCCTCCCCATCACTTTTTTTTATCTCTTTGTGTCAGGAAGGAAGAAACAAGGCAGCAGCCAGAAATGACACTTAGTACAAATCCTCCTACATAAGTTGTACCTGTTTATCTGAGGAATCTCTTCTCTACATCCGTTCAAAGTCCAGAATTTACACAGCATGTCTGAACTTTCAGGAAACAGGGTGGAGAGCTAAGGAAAACAGGGGGCGGAGAGCTAAGGTTGCACTTTGTGCAGTTCAGAGCGCCCTTAAACCTGATTGGAGGGAAGGGACACACCTCCTTCATACAGCTCATAGGAACAGAGCTGAGGCTGTCAATCACAGGCTGTATGCTGGAGCTCCCTCCCCGTCACCTTTTTTTGTCTCTTTGTGTCAGGAAGGAAGAAACAAGACAGCAGACAGAAATGACACTTAGTGCAAACCCTCCTACATAAGTTGTACCTGTTTATCTGCAGTATTCTCTTCTCTACATCCGTTCAAAGTCCAGAATTTACACAGCTTGTCTGAACTTTCACAAAACGGGGCGGAGAGCTAAGGTTGCACTTTGTGCAGTTCAGAGAGCTCTGAAAGCTGATTGGAGGGAAGGGACACACCCCCTTCATACAGCTCATAGGAACAGAGCTGAGGCTGTCAATCGCAGGCTGTGTGCTGGAGCTCCCTCCCCTCTCACCTTTTTTATCTCTTTGTGTCAGGAAGGAAGAAACAAGGCAGCAGACAGAAATGACACTTAGTGCTCTAGACTGAGACAAGTACACACTATAGAGGGATATGCTTTGTTCAGATTTCATGCCTGAGGTTTACAGCCACTTTAAGGTCCCCCTTCATACAGCTCATAGGAACAGAGCTGAGGCTGTCAATCGCAGGCTGTGTGCTGGAGCTCCCTCCCCTGTCACCTTTTTATCTCTTTGTGTCAGGAAGGAAGAAACAAGGCAGCAGACAGAAATGAAACTTAGTGCTGCAGACTGAGACAAGCACACACTATAGAGGGATATGCTTTGTTCAGATTTCATGCCTGAGGTTTACAGCCACTTTAAGGTCCCCCTTCTAGTTACATTGCCATGTTGGCAGTTACAATAGATCTACAAATACATATAAAGGACAGTTAGTTTGTGGTGGGGATTCCCCAGTATCGGCTGTCAGTACTCACTCGAGCCTTTGGGGTAGGCGGCGATATGGAAGGCGTACAGGTAGGACAGAAGCAGGCTAGTCCCCAGTAACAAGGTCATGGTCTTGTCCATCTTCCCGGGCTCTGGGTATGCGATCAGGGTCCCCACCTCACCATGCCAGCTTCTCAAACGTTCCACCGTCCAGGCTGTGACATCCTCACGGATCGCTTCCAGCGGGGTCTTCCAGGCTACGTCACCCCGAAAACACTCAGCCGCCTTAACCCCTTGTGGGTCTCTGCGGCGGGGAATCCCAATGAAAAGCAGCTGAGTTATACGAGTTCACAGCACCAGCAGGTTGGGAGTGGAGAGACGCAGACGACCCGGGGACGCCGCAGACGGGGGGGGGGGGGGGGGGAGGACTCATGCAGGTACTGACGGCGAACACAACTCTTGTCTGGGGGAGAGAGGATGTCTCCGTAATAATAGCAGTCAACCCCCATCCTGACCTGGCAAGAAGTCTGGAAAATCGCTCTCTGGCCAATACATGTGTTTGTAATAACATACATTCTTCATCAGTGACGCCATCGCACCAAAAACTAATGAAATATTAACTAATTTATGGTATGCGTGGTGGTGACATAGGAGGCGGAGCCATTGACGGTCATTTACTAAAGGCAAATAGACGATGCACTTTGTAAAGTCGCTCCAGAGCTCCGTAAATGAGCAGAAGCTCCGCTGACTTCCATCATCCAATCAGGTGCAAGCAGAAAAGTGTTTTTTTTTTTAAATTTGTTTTTATTTTCCTTGCACCTGATTGGGCATTGTTTGCAAAGTGAAGCCGTCCATCCTGTACACCCCATACATCCCGTACATCCAGTACACCCTGTACACCGCGTACATCCAGTACACCCCATACATCCAGTACACCCTGTACACCCCGTCCATCCCGTACACCCCGTACATCCAGTACATCCCGTCCATCCCGTACACCCCGTACATCCCATCCATCCCGTACACCCCGTACACCCCGTACATCCCGTACACCCCGTGCACATCCAGTACACCCCGTACATCCCATCCATCCCGTACACCCCGTACATCCAGTACACCCCGTACATCCCGTACACCCCGTACATCCCGTACACCCCGTACATCCAGTACACCCCGTACATCCCATCCATCCCGTACACCCCGTACATCCAGTACACCCCGTACATCCCGTACATCCCGTACACCCTGTACATGCCGTACACCCCGTACATCCAGTACACCCTGTACATCCCGTACATCCTGTATTTTCCATCCATCCCATACACCCAGTACACCCTGTACATCCCATCCATCCTGTACATCCCATACATCCAGTACACCCTGTACAACCCGTACACCCTGTACATCTCGTCCATCCTGTACACCCCATACATCCCGTACATCCCATACATCCCGTACACACACGTACATACTGTATATCCCATACATCCTGTACACACCATACATACTGTATATCCCATACATCCTGTACACCCCATACATCCCGTACATCCCGTACATCCCGTACACCCTGTACACACCGTACATACAGTATATCCCATACATCCTGTACACCCCATACATCCGGTACATCCCGTACACCCCGTACATCCCATACATCCCGTACACCCTGTACACACCGTACATACTGTAAATCCCATACATCCTGTACACACCATACATCCCGTACATCCCATACATCCTGTACACCCCATACATCCCGTACACCCCGCACATCCCATACATCCTGTACATCCCATACACCCCGTACATCCCACACACCCCGCACATCCCATACACCCCGCACATCCCATACACCCCGTACATCCCATACACCCCGTACATCCCATACACCCCGTACACCCCATACACCCCGTACATCCCGTACATCCCGTACATCCCGTACATCCCATACATCCCGTACATCCCGTACACCCCGTACATCCCGTACACCCCGTACATCCCATACATCCCGTACATCCCATACATCCCGTACACCCCGTACATCCCATACATCCCGTACATCCCGTATATCCAATACATCCCATACATCCCGTACACCCCATACATCCCGTACATTCCATACATCCCATACACCCCATACATCCCATACGGCAAGCAGGTAATCTGACACGTCTGCAAGAGACCTGAATGCCATCAGAGATCTACTGATCGCTGGTGCAATGCTTTCCAGGCTCCTTTGGACAAAGAAAATAAATGCACATTTTTTTACCTGCAAAAAAAATGTGCATTTATTATTTTTGTCCAAAAGGTGAAATTATCCCTTAAAGCGGAGTTCCACCTGAAAAAAAAAAAACATAAAAGTCAGCAGCTACAAAAACTGTAGCTGCTGACTTTTAAACTACAGCCACTTACCTGTCCTCACCACGGCTGGTTTCGCCAGCCGTCTTTTCTCCCCAGCACTGGCGTCTTCAGTGTGGGCACCCGGCTGTGACTGCTTTCGGCTTCACAGCCAGGAGCCCACTGCGCATGCACGAGAAGTGCTGCACTTTCTGAATGATCCTGTAGTCTTCTCGGACCGGACATGTGTCCCAGAAGACTATGGGGAGGGAGGGGGGGAGGACAAATTCTGCTTCCGATCACCTAGGCGATCGCAGAGGAAGTAGGAGCGGGTAAGTGTCAAATTCAGGTACCTGCTCCCCAAGGGTGCTAATCCTTAATGGGGAGCGGAGGACAAAGCATTAAAAATGGAACTTCCCCTTTTGGGTGGAGCTCCGCTTTAACCAGCTCAAGTCTGCAATATGTATATATACATTGCAGTTTTGAAGGAGAACCCCGCAGCTGCACACCATAACCCCGGTATTAAAATTTACAGCAGCCGCTGCGGTTTCTGGTAAAAGTGATCTGAGCGGCTGATTAGCCACTGGAGCACTTTTAGAACCGGCGGGAGGGGTCACCCCCGCCACTTTTCGGTGCTTCTCGGACTTACCTGTCTGATCGTTGATCCCTGGAACTGTTCCGGCAGTCATAGCTGCTGGTCTTAGAGATTAGCTGAGGAAAGATGGCCTCAGTTAATCTCTTTGACCTAGGAGGACTACAGCGACGTCATGAAGTCACTTCCACTTCCAGTCCAAATGTAAACCAAAAACATTTTCTGGGGGGGAAAGTATTAGATCAATGGGATTTTTTTCATGGTCTAATGCTTTCCATTGTTGTGAAGAGATATGGGGTCTTTTAGACACAAGATCTCTCTACAAAGAGGACCTGTCATGATGTATTGCTATTGCAAGGGATGTTTACATGTGTTGCAATAGCAATAAAAGTGATCTAAAACAAAAAAAAATTAAGGTAAATATAAAAATAAAGAAATAAAATAAATAAAAACTAAAAAAGTTTTTAAAGTACTCCCATCCGTCCGTGCTCGTGCAAAGTGGTGAACACATAGGTCACACCTACATATGTAAATGGTGTTCACATCGCACATGTGAGGTATCTCCGTGAACGTGAGAGCGAGAGCAATAATTCTAGCACTAGCATCGCCTATGGAGATTTTTAGGTACCATTCCAAGAGCGTGCGCAACTTTAAAGCGTGACACGTTAGGTATCTATTTACTTGGCATAACATCTTCCCAAAAAATTGGCTTATATGCTATGGGTTTTTTTTTACATTTTATTTATTAACCATTAGCCGCCCGGCCTATAGCTATTTGGCGGCCGCAAAAATGCTGCAGATTTCCGGGGTATACGCCATTTGGCGTCCTCCCGCACATGCGCAGTTCACTCGGTTGCAGAGCCGCACAGCCGCACAGCCGCACAGCGGCGATGACAGATCTGAGTACTGGCCCCCGTTGCCGGTACCATGTGACCTGCTGTGACCAATCACAGCAGGTCACATGACAGTTGTACAAAATGGATGGCTTCATTCATGCCATCCATTGTATAATAGTGCCTAGCTGTGAATGGTCACAGCAAGTCACATGCACATGTCATGTGATTAGCTGTGGCCAAATCACAGCTAAGCACAAAAAAAAAAAAACCCTGAATGAATCGATGTCATTCAGGTAAATGCTTGCTTATAGCAAAGTAATTCTTTGCTATAAGCAAATTGTGTAAAAAAAAAAAATACTGATCACTTCCCCAAAGTAGTACAATGTTACTATGGTAACATTGTACTACTTTAGTCATAGTAAAATATGAAAATAAATCTTTAAAAAATTTTTTAAAAAATTTCATAAAAAATTTAAAATAATAATAAAAAATATATATATATTTTTTTTTTTTCATACTGTCACCAGTCAGTGTCCCTGATCACCGCCATGCCAGTTATATGATGACGCTGTACTGCACTGGTGACAGTATGTAAAAAAAAAATAGTGAAAATAATTTTTTTCATTTTTTTCATTTTCTGAAAAATTATGACAAAAAAAATACAACTTCAAAAAACTCGCCATTCCTCTTATGAAGTACGTCGGACTGTCTACTCTGCAAAAAGGGGTCATTTGGGGGATATCTGTACTGTTCTGACATTTGGGGGATATCTGTACTGTTCTGACATTCTTGGACCTCAAGAAATTAGATTGGCCGTCAGTACTTCAGGACTGATCAATATTCAGATCTATACCATAGTTTGTGAACTCTATAACTTTCCTACAAACTAAAAAATACATCCTAATTTGGGTTATTTTCACCAAAGACATGTAGTAGAATACATCTCGGCCTAAGTTTATGAAGAACAATTATTTATTTGCAAACTTTTATAACAGAAACAAAGAAAAACGTGGGTTTTTTTTTCAAAATTTTTGGGCTTTTTTTGTTAATTTAGCAAAAAATAAAAACCCCAGCGGTGATTAAATACCACCAAAAGAAAGCTCTAGTTGTGTGAAGAAATTGATAAAATTTTAGTTTGGGTACAATGTTGTATGACCGCGCAATTGTCATTCAAAGTGTGAGAGCGCTGAAACCTGAAAAATGGCCTGGGCAGGAAGGTTTGACCGTTATTGAAATGGTTAAAGTATATTTTTTCCACAAAAATTGCATTTGAAAAACTGCGCAAATACCGTGTGACATAAAAAATTGCAATGATCACCATTTTATTCTCTAGGGTCTCTGTTAAAAATATCTAAATAAATATATATATAAAA